AGGGTTCTCTTGGAGGGACAGAACTAATAGTATGTATATATAATAGATATATATACACATTATATGTATGTGTATATATAATATATAAATATATATTATAGGATATATATAAATTATATACATATATAAATATATATGGGATATATTAAGTGTTAACTTACACAATCACAAGGAAACATACAGCAGAGGAGAAAAATGTAAGCTGGGAGACTAGGCCCATCTCTCCTTTTCCAAGTCCCTACCAGAAAGACAAGAGGACCCCGAAGGAAATGAATCAGGAGTCACTGTAAATAACAAACGTCTCCCTGAGGAGCCCAGGGACATAGGCTCCTGAGATTTAGAAGCAACTAACACAGCCTGAAGAAATTATTTCCCTGCAGTGGTGCTGGTCTCCCAGTTGGGAATGTTTCAATAGAAGGGGAGTCTCCCAGACCATCCTCCATCAAGTCCCATCAAGCCCATCTTCCCTGAAAAAAATTAATTTTGATTTTCTCATTCCATATATATATATTATATAATATATATATATTATATTTTACACACTTATCATATAGAGCCATCCTTTGGTATCCACAGGGGATTGGTTCTAGGAATTCTCATGGCTTCCAAAATCTACACATGCTCGAGTCTCTGACATAACATAGCATAGTATTTGCCCATAACCTATGCACATCCTCCCATATACTTTAATGTCTAGATTACTTAGAATACCTAAACAATGTAAATGCTATTAATAAATGTAAATGTAGATGGTTGTTATACTGCATTGTTTTTTATTTGTATTTTTTTAGTTTTCAGTTTTTGAGACAGGATATTGCTCTAGCGCCCAGGATGGAGTGTAGTCACGTCATCTCAGTTCTTTGTAACTTCTGCCTCTTGGGCTCAAGTGATCCTCCTGCCTCAGCCTCCCAAGTAGCTGGAACTACAGACATGTGCCACCTCACTCAGCTAATTTTGGTACTTTTTTGTAGACAGGGTCTTGTTATGTTGCTCAGACCGGTCTCGAATTCCTAAGTTCAAATATTCCTCCCACTTTGGCCTCCCAAAGTGCTGGGATTACAGGTGTGAGCCACCACACCTGGCCTATTGTGTTTTTTTTTCCCCCAGATATTTTCCATCCATCATTGGTTGAATCCACGGTTGTGGAACCCACATATACAAAGTGTTGATTGTATCTAAAAATGAAACTATTTAAAAGGTAGAAAAACGCAGCCACGATTTTGTCTCTTAATTCCTTTCTTCCATTTTCCTGTCTGCTAGACTCAGTGGGAACCCAAGAGGGAAGGAGTTTAGACGGGAGAACAGGTAGAGATAAGTGGGAAAGAGACGGCATTAAGGCCCTCAAGTCTGTAAAGGGTGAATGCAGACTGCAGCACAGGACTGCCACCTGGTCGCTGGTCTCAGCTGCCAGGAAGAGCTGTGGCTTTGTCACCATCCTCAGCTCGTCTTGCTCCCTTGATCCCTGCCTCAGTTTGCTCGGCTCCTGGCCTCCTTGGAGGAAAATGCCTGTGTCAATGGGAGCATGATGGAGGGTTCCAGGTTGAGGTGGGATGGGGGATAAGGACATGTTTGCATGAACGTGTCCTAAAGGAACATGTACATAAGGAAATGGACTCCCATTTGGAGAGTGAGCTGGGGGAGGTGGGCACTGCAAGGAGCAGGAAGACAGGCCGGATGTCTAGAGATTGCTCCATAACCCCTAGTTCCTTTTGAGTGTCCTGCTTTGTCTGTTCTGGCTTTCACCCCAACCCAGAAACCTGGAGAAACCTCAACTGGAACGTTGAATGAGAAGATTCCAGCTCTCTGGGCCCAGGGTGAAAAAAGGAAGTTGTATGAAAAGAGGAGACAGGAAAAAACAGTCTCATATTGTGCAACAGGTGAAGTCCCACATTGCCCCACTTCGAGGATTCCATGCTGCCGTTTGTAATTCCTGGTGAAGCATTTCTTCACGAGGCTGCCCAGGCTCCTGCAGCCTTCCCTGGTGGTCCTGCCTCTGTGGAGCTGAGCTCCTCCCTTCCCATTTGCTGAGGGGCAGGCACCAGTGGGAAAGAGACTGCATCATGAGGGAGGAGACCTGGATTCTGGCCCTAGCCCTGCCTGTTCACTAACAATGAACCAAAGACAGGTCATGGTTCTGCTCTGGGCTGCATCTGACAGATGAGAGGATGGACTCTCCCAGGTAGCAATCCGGGACCCCTCAGAGCACCTTAGGTGTCTCTAGAAGAGGCATGCTTCCTAAGGGTCCTGGACCCTGGGTCAAGCCTCAGCCCCAGAACTCAGTTGCTGAAGCAGATCTCCCCTTGGGACACCTCTCCTCATTATAGTCCATCTCCTTGAGGTGTGTCCCTCTCACCCTGGGTTCCTCCTGCAGGGAGGTTTGGCTCACCCTCCAGAATGCTCCCTTTCCTGCCACACTGAGCTACTGGGGGTCGCTATTGGTGATGTGTCAGTTGGTGGTTGTATTTGTTTCTATTGTTGCAAAACATTACCACACACTTAGTGTCTTAAAACCATGTATTTATTCTCTCAAAGTTCTAGAGGTGAAAAGTCTGAAACTAGTTTCCCTGGGCCACACTCCCTCTGCAGGCTCTAGGGGAGGAACAATTTCCTTGCCTTTTCCAGCTTCCAGAGCTGCATCCTCACACCTCTTGGCTCCTGGCCTCTTCCTCCATCTTCCAAGCCAGCAGCATAGCATCTTTCTTCTCTGGTCACATTGCTACCTTCTCCGCTATTGCCACATTTTTCTCTTCCTCCTTCTTATAAGGACACTTACAACTACATTAGGGCCTGACCAGATAATTCAGGGCAATCACTCATCTCAAGATCCATAACTTGATCATATCTCCAGAGTCCCTCCTGCCACATAAAGTGACATTGACAGGTTCTGGGGAATAGGATGTGGATGTCTTGGGGGCCATTATTCAGCTACCACAGTGATCTATACCTTGTCTCTGGCTTGGGGTCATCCATTCTCTCTCCCATCCCATCCCCTTAGAATAGAATTGTATATTTTTCTCCAAATCCACACCCTAATCTTACAGGCCATCCCAACTGCCCCTCCCTTCACTTTCTTTAGGCTCTGAGAATATTCTAGGAGACTGCCCTCCAACGGAACTTTCTGTGATGATGGACAGAAAGTCCATAATCCGTGCTGTCTAACGTGGTAACTAGCCATGTTACCAAGGGCTACTGAGCACTTGAAATGTGATAGTGTGACTCAGGAACTAAATTTTAAATTTTATTTCATTTTAATTAAATGTAATGAAATTGTAAATAGCCACTTTGGCCAGTGGCTAACATATTGGACAGCTCAGATCTAGGCAAATGAAAGCAGAAACTATGGCCAGGCACATTCTTCACTGCCAGCCTCTCCTCACACCTGTTTTGGATGAGCTATGCCCCCTAACCTCCTCCTCTCGGTCCCCGCAGAATCTGAAGGAGGCTTCCACTGGTGCTCTGGAATGACGGAAGTGACTAAGGGCAGAACAGGAAGGGAATTGTGTCTGTTTTCCCCAGAGAAGTACAGGGCCCCAGTTCTGCTTTTGCATAGGACTAAGAACACTCGAAGGATTTTCAAGGTAGTCTCGGCCTTGTCCTTACTCGACCAGTCTCCCTTTTGGGGACCACAGAGGTGTGTCACTAGGGAAGGTGTGCAGGAAAGGGCCCGAGCCTGGGAGCTGGCACTGGCCAGGGTCCTGCTCTGCTATGCACTCGCTGAGTGACATGTGGCAAGTTACTTCCCAGGCCTTGGCCCTCAGTTTCCATAAAATGAGAGAGTTGGACCAGATGGTCTAAAGTTTCCTTTTAGCTTTAGTAGACCATGAGTCTATGTCCTGTGGATCAGGCTTTATTGTGCATGAAATTCTGTTTCAGAGCCGTGTTGTCTCTGACCCATGGAATAGGCAGTTCTGATTGAAGGATAATTAAGTAGAAGTGACTTTAGGTTACTCCTGCAACAATTCCAAACAAAACCAGACCTCCGGTCAGGCGCCGTGTCTCACACCTGTAATCCCAGCACTTTGGGAGGCTGAGGCGGGCGGATCACGAGGTCAGGAGATCGAGACCATCCTGGCTAACATGGTGAAATCCCGTCTCTATTAAAAATACAAAAATTAGCCGGGCGTGGTGGCGGACGCCTGTGGTCCCAGCTCCTCCAGAGGCTGAGGCAGAAGAATGGCATGAACCCGGGAGGTGGAGCTTGCAGTGAGCTGAGATTGTGCCACTGCACTCCAGCCCGGGCGAAGGAGCGAGACTCTGCCAAAAAAAAAAAAAAAAAAAAAAAAAGAAACAGACCTCCATCCTTCTGTCCTCATGACAACACTTCACAGTAGCTTGGGCTTTAGAGTGCTGATCCATCAACTAACTGATCTAATCCTCATGATGACCCTGATAACTGCTAGGTCCATTTTAAGCGAAAAGGCTGAAGCTCACAGAGGGAAGGAGAGAATCTTCCAGGTGCCCGGTCCCATGATGGGTGCTTTACACATCACCTCACAACAGCCCTTCGAAATGGTTAATGTTATCCCCATTTCACAGGTGTGAACACTGAGGTCTAATAAGGCAAGATGACTTTCCCAATGTTATGCTGATGATAAGATGATGAAGACAGTCTTCTCACTCTTCTTCCCCCTTTGCTGTGCTGCTTCCCCTGTTTACAACTTCCCCTCAAGATGTTGAAATGATAACCTCCTTTTTTGGGGCATTCTTTCATGACACTCCCCAAGTCGACCTACGAGCCTCAACAAGTCATTTCACCTCTCTGTGCCTCTGTTTCCTTAACTGTGAAACTGGGGACAACAGTCCCTACTTCATAAGGGTGTTAAAACCCTTGTTGAAAGAAAGTACGCAGTGAGATGTATGAAGAGTGCGCAGCCCAGAGCTCATATTAAGGATGCAGCAATTGCTCATTCTTACTCCTTTTGGAAACTAGTTTGCCCCTCCGATAGTACCAGGCAATTCCTTTTACCCCCAAATCAAATTAAAATCACAAAGAAACTGTCTGCATTTTATTTTAAAGTTTTATTATGAAAACACATGGAATTAACGGTGTTATCCATGTATTTGCAGCAGCAGAGAAACAGTGACGGTGGACCATCTCCATAGGAGACACTTTGGCTAAACAAATATAAATAATGGAAATAACACCTAATACAATAACACAACACATAAAAACGATTAAATTAAGAGAAGGGACAGGAACTGCGGAGAGGAGTCCTGAGTGTGGAGAAGATGCGTCTCATGGAGAAGCGTCCAGGCTCAGGTGACCTTCCCGGAAGACTTCCTATCTCTGAGCAGCTCAGTTCAGTTCCAGGTCATTAACATACTCCTGGACCCAGGTCTCACTGGGGTCAGCGCAGACTTGCTTCCCTCTTTTGGTTTGGAATCTGTAGAACAAGGAGCGGACAGATGAGAATCCCATGAGACCTTTGAGGTCATCTGGCTTTTTCCCTTGCCTGGGGTCGGTATCTTCCTCTGCCTGACCATGGTCCATGTGGGCAGCTCTGGTGCATGGGATCCTTCCTGGGGCCACACTGGAACCAGACTCCCTGTAACTTCCACCCACTGGAGTTAGCTGTGGGCCCCAGGGGTTTCCCAGATTAGGAACCAATGGGCATTACAATCAATATGAATAGATCTCCCCATTCCCTGCCAGCCTGGCAGTGACTTTTCCACATGTCTTTCTAGCACGGTTTGAGAAATCGTCCATATCTCATGTGACCTGTCCGACTTCCCCTGCTTTCCTGTCCTCTGGATAACTTCCTCCCCAGAAACCCCTTCTCTCTCAGCTCCTGCTCAGCCGCCTTCAACACTTGAAAAAGGAGTTCATGACCTGTGTCCTCACTGCTCTCAGGGAAGGCTTCAGCCCTGAGAGCTGCCTCCCCACTGCTCAATCACCCCCCTCCCAAAACAGGCCCCCTTTTAAAATCCAGCCCTCCCCCTTGCCTCCCAGAGCAGCCCAGGGGTTGATACTCACACCACAGCTGGCTGGGAGCAGAGGCTGCTGGTCTCGTAGTAATCTACCACAAAGTTGCGAGGAAGCTTCCTCACGGTGTAAGAAAAGCAGCAGGAGGTGGGAGGGTCTGAGCCCACTGAAAGGAAAGGCCAGGGTGAGATCAACGCTGCACATAGAAGCTGTTTATTTTGGCTTCTAGTTTTGTGTCTTCTTTGAGCATCCCTGTGTAGCTACCGGAACCACAAATATGGTCCCTTGTATCCATTCCCACCTCACCTGAGCGGGAGTCTTATTCTGAATACTGGATCTTCAGACAAGAACAAGAAAGAAATCTAGAAGACTGGAACTGGATTCAGTCTCAGAACACATCGCACTCCCTTCATGTGACAGATGGGAAAACCAAAGCACAGAGAGGGACAGGGGCTTGCTTGAACAAGTAATTAGAGGCAGAGCCAATTCAACAGTCTGACTTCCAGCCCATCTTTTTCCTCTGCTAGTTGCTAATTCTTGAGAAAATACGAACTTGAATGTTATTGAATACTAGACCTTACATTTAGCGCAGACTTCGTGGCAATCTTCCTAGCTGCCTTTTGTCCCATCCCCAGATCCCACTGTTTGACCAGCCACAACTAGAAAAAGGGACTCTGCCTGCACCTCGGCTCTGGAAACAGCAGCTGCGAAAGTGGACTTACTTGGTGCTGAGAGTGCTGGAGAGCAGAAGGCAGCTGCTAGCGCGAGGAGAGACAGGACCGTCACGCGCAGCTTCATGGTGTCGGTGGAAGACAGGTTTTCTCAGAGGTGAGGCTACAGAACGCAGAAGCTTCAGAACCCAGCTGTGTCCTGTGCTGATACTGAGTTGGGAATCTCTCTTTATAGAGACCCTGAGGCCTGGGACAAATGTGGGGGCTCAGCAGAGCGAGTGGAATTTCCATGGTAGAGATGATGTCGTGGCTCCTGAAGCTAGCTGAGTGAGGAGTTCCTCTCAGCTTCTCTTCCCCAGGGCGATGTCATCATAGAGGAAAGCTGAGGGAACTGCAGGCTAGAAGAAAAGGGAAGTGGTACCACCAAAGGAAGTGACCGAGACCTGGGGGGAGAATTGCAAACCACAGAGGAAAGATGAAATGTTCACACCTGCTATAAGTGGCTTGTAGACAACAACTGTGCTGCTCTTGGTGATTCGCACCCCCAGATGCTGGAGGGTTCATGTCAGTCTTTCCAGGCTGGCCACAAGCCTGGCCCCAAGAACAAAGGGGGAGCCAGGACCCCCCCCCATCTCTTTCCTGTGCCTTCTTCTGCTGAGCTGAGTGCCACTGAATTTTGTGCTCTGTATGTTTCCTTGGGCATGAAGAGTCCAGCATTGGATGTGCAGAGGGATCCAGTGGGGTGACTCAGGAACATTTGTAACTTCTTATTGGACACAGCGTGTACCTGGCACTGGGAAAGCTGTCTTACACATATCATCTCTAATCCCTCCATAGCCCTGAGCAGGGCTGTGTCATCTCATTTTACAGATAAGACAATTGAGGATCAGAGAGTGGTCCACTGATGTGCTCAGTGCCACAGAGTTGATGAGTGGCACTGCCAAGATCTGAATCAAGATTCATCTGACTCCAAAGTCCATTTTCATTCCATGCTGTAGTCTCCAGAATAAACATAGAGTGTGACCACAAACAGAAACCACTGACTGATAGACTGCTAGGAGCTATTCCACACTCAAAGACCAATTGTACTCAAACTTAATTCAGGAAAGAGACAGGGCTAGTCTGTCCTAGAACAAGGAGGGAACGGAGAAGAAATAAAGATTTCAGGATATTTTCTTGGACCAACAAAAGAACAGGACATATAAACCAGTAAGAATCAAGTTTGGAAGACCCAGATAGAGAATGTTCTTCTAGTATAAAAACAGGATTGAGCTGGGTGCAGTGGCTCACACCTGTAATCCAGCACTTTGGGAGGCCATGGTAGGTGGATTGCTTGATCCCAGAAGTTCGAGACCAGCCTGGGCAACATGGTAAAACCCTGTCTCTACAAAAAATACCAAAAACAATTTGGCTAGGAGTGGTGATGCACACCTGTAGTCCCAGCTGCTCAGGAGGCTGAGGTGGGAGGATCACCTGAGCCCACGAAAGTCCAGGCTGCAGTGAGTGGTAATTGTGCCACTGCACTCCAGCTTGGGTGACAGAACGAGACCCTGTCTCAAAAACAAAGCAAAGCAAAACAAAACAGAACTGTATACGTAGTAATGAGTTTATCCATGTTACAGACAAAATATGTAAACTAAGAATGTGGGTGTGTCCCAACCAGTCCATAGGGAATACCCGTGCTTATGTTAAGCCCTGGCTGCTTTGACAGCTGCTGGGCACCTGTACAGAAGATTACAAAGGCCCTGAATACAGGAGTGTGTGAAGTTGGGCAAATGAGGGGAATGAGGATAATTGGATCAAGATCTCTATCTGCCTTTAGCTCTACTACTCTAACCTGCCTGCTCACCCCTAACCCCACTCTTCTCTGAGAAAGAAAAAAGAAGAGTAGGCTGGGAGCGGTGGCTCAAGCCTGTAATCCCAGCACTTTGGGAGGCCAAGGCGTGTGGATCACGAGGTCAGGAGATTGAGACCATCCTGGCTAACATGGTGAAATCTTGTCTCTACTAAAAATACAAAAAATTAGCCCGGTTTGGTGGCAGGCGCCTGTAGTCCCAGCTACTCAGGAGGCTGAGGCAGAAGAATGGTGTGAACCCAGGAGGCAGAGCTTGCAGTGAGCCGAAATCGTGCCACTGCACTCCAGCCTGGGCAACAGAGTGAGATACCGTATCAAAAAAAAAAAAAAAAAAAAAAAAAAAGAAGCGTAAAAAGAAGGAGCCATGACTTCAAACTATACTACAGGGCTACAGTAACCAAAACAGCATGGTACTGGTACAAAAACGGACACATAGACCAATAGAACAAAATAGAGAGCTCAGAAATAATGCTGCATACCTGCAACCATCTGATTTTTGACAAAGTTAACAAAAACAAGCAATGGGGAAAGGACTTCCCATTCAATAAATGATACTGGGATAATTGGCTAGACATATGCAAAAGATTGAAACTGATTCCTTCCTTACACTGTGTATAAAAATCAACTCACAATGGATTAAATACTTAAATGCAAAACCGAAAACTGTAAAACTATAAAAAATATGATATCCTGTAAGATAACCTAGACAATACCATTCTGGACATAGGATCTGGCAGAGATTTCATGATGAAGATGCCAAAAGCAAATTCCAACACAATCAAAAACTGACAAATGGGATCTAATTAAACTAAAGAGATTCTGCACAGCAAAAGAAATTATCAGCAAAGTAAAGAGAATGTACAGAATGGGAGAAAATATTTACAAACTATGCATCTGACAAAGGTCTAGTATCCAGAATCTATAGGGAACTTAAACAAATGTACAAGCAAAATACGAACAACTCCATTAAAAAGTGGGCAATGAACATAAACAGATACATTTCAAAAGAAGACATACACATGGTCAATAAACATACAAAAAAATACTCAACACCACTAATCATTAGAGAAATGCAAATCAAAACCACAATGAGATACTGTCTCAAACCAGTCTGGATGGCTATTTTTAAAAAGTCAAAAAATAACAGATGCTGGTGAGGTTGCAGAGAAAAGGAACACTTATACACTGCTGGTGGGAATGTAAATTAGTTCAGCCATTGTGGGGAGCAGTTTGGCGGTTTCTAAAAGAACTTAAAACAGAACTACCTTTCGACCCAGCAATCCCATTATTAGGTATATACCCAAAGGAATAGAAATCATTCTACCATAAAGACATGTGCACATGTATTTCATTGCAACACTATTCACAATAGCAAAGACATGGAATCAACTTAAATGCCCATCGATGATAGACCAGATAAAGAAAATGTGGTATATATACTTCTCAGTCATTAAAAAAAGAACAAGATCATGCCCTTTGTAGCAACATGGATGGAGCTGGAGGCCATTATCCTAAGTGAACTAATGCAGGAACAGAAAACCAAATACTGCATGTTCTCACTTATAAGTGGAAGCTAAACATTGAGTATACATGGACACAAAGAAGGGAACAGCAGGCACTGGGGCTGACTCAAGGGTGAAGGGTGGGAGGAGGGAGAGGATTTAAAAAAATTACCTGTCGGATACTATGCTTATTACCTGGGTGATGAAATAATTTGTACACCAAACTCCCGCAACACGCAATTTACCTATATAACAAACTTGCAAGCCTTGAGGGCAAAGAGGTAAACAGGGGTCAAGTTACAGAGAAGCTTCCATTTCATGCCAGAAATGATGTAGAATGTTTGCAAGATTTTAAAAGGAGAGAAACAGAGAATGATTTTGAGCTTTAGCAAAATTATATTGGATGCTGTATCATGGGATAGATTAAAAAGAGACAAAACTAGGCCAGGCATGGTGGCTCATGCCTGTAATCCCAGCACTTTGGGAGGCCAAAGCAGCAGATCATTTGAGGCCAGAAGTTCAAGACCAACCTGGCCTACATGGTGAAACTCCATCTCCATGAAAAATACAAAAAATTAGTCGGGTGTGGTGGCACATGACTATAATACCAGCTACTTGAGAGGCTGAGGCAAAGAATTGCTTGAGCCTGGGAAGCCAAGGTTGCAGTGAACCAAGATCAGCCACTGCACTCCAGCCTGGGCCACAGAGTGAGACCTTGTCTCTAAATAAATAAATAAGAAAAGAAAAAAGAGTTGCTAGGACCCTCCTCTAGTTGTCATGGTGAGAAACCATAAGAACCTGACAGGCAGTGGGAGTGGTGACAGGCAGATGCACATAAAATTGAACGTAGACTAGAGTTGGTGATTTAACAGGTGTAGGAGATGACAGAGAAAGAGGAGACAAGGGTGACTCTCGGCTTTCCAGCTTGGAATATTGATAGGAAGAGGCACTTTTTGTTGGGTAGAGAATATGGAAGAAGGGGCAAGGGACCAGGAGAGGGATCAGATGCAGTACCAAGACACACGCCCTGACCTACTGCACACATGCAAGAAATGGCCAGAGAAAATAACAAGGACTCGGGACAGGAAACAAGGGGCTGGCTGTGGAAAGAGGGGGCTGTGTCAATGAGACATTGTCTGTCTAAGATGCAAGACAGGGGACTCCAGGCTGCTGCTTCTGCCTGCAGGAAAGGCGAGGCCCACACCTGCTGCAACCTGACCACGCAGACCACATATGAGAAAAGGAGGCCAAAGCTGGGCCAAGCAGGATGTCATCATCAGTGAACCCATCCCTGGGGCGCCTGCTGCCAAAGGAGCTAGCGGAGGGTGACACGTGGGGAAGTGGAGCCTCGGGGCCAGAATCTGGAAGGAAAGCAATGCCCCACGCTAGAGAGCATGGGCAGCAGCGCACAGTGGGGAGGCAAGCCGAGCAGTGCAAGGCAAAGACGCCGCAGAGGACAAACTGCTCAGCCAGGATTCCCTGCACTCTGGACTGGGATGCTCTGCTGAACTGAGATGGGGCCTTACAGAGGCTGAAATGAGCCAGAACGCTGGGACACAAATCAAATCCCTCCATGCTGAAGGGTCCACGGTGTTGACTGCTGGCTACTTTCTGTCACCACCACCTGAGGAATCTTCGGTGGTCAGTTTCCCAAAGATCAAGACTGTGACACCATGCCTCCTTTCCTTCTCCCCTCCCCTCCCCTCCCTTCCCCTCCCTTCCCTTCCTTTCCTTCTCTTTAAAGTAAATCATAACCTTTTAGATCCAAGTTACTGGAAACTTCTTTCTATAAGTTTAATTTACATTTCTCTTTCAAATTGTATCTTTATTGGGACTCCCAATTCTGTCTCTCTTTTTTTTTTTTTTTTTTTCTGAGACGGAGTCTCCCTCTGTCACCTAGGCTGGAGTGCAGTGGTGTGATCTCGGCTCACTGCAACCTCCTGGGTTCAGGTGATTCTCTTGCCTCCATCTCCCGAGTAGCTGGGACTACAGGCATGTGCCACCACGCTCAGCTAATTTTTTGTATTTTTAGAGAGACAGGGT